AAAAAAAGTTATTTAAAATAAAGAAAATGCAAATAACTATACATTCGTCAGCAATTGCTACGAATCAGAGAAAGTACAGAAGTTTGGTTAGTACGGTCAGTGATAATTATTAAATAAAGTTTAAAATTAACATTTATTTTTTTAGAAAAAAAAAATTCATATAAATAAAAATGATGCAGTGAAAAAAAGTTGGGTATTCGCTTCGAAAAAATAACAGCTAATTTTAGACTGATAACAACCAGAAGATATTTCATTGTTAAATGAGGGCGATCTAAATGTAGAGGAATTAAAACGATGTTTAGCTACATTTTTTTATTAAGTTTTAATAAAAATTAACCTAATCTTATTATTTAATTTTGTATCACTAAATAATTTAATCTAACTATTCTAAATATTTAAAAAAGAAAGCAATATAATGATAATAATAATTACATATTATATGATATAATTAATAAATAATTAAAAATTCTATATAACTATAAATTGTAATAAATAATAATAGATGCCTAGTCATCGCTGGCGATGGTCTGATTAATAAACACATTTATTATTTTGAAGAACTTAAATAATATTGTAAAAACTCACCTGAAATGCTTTTGCGCACTAATTTCATAATATTATGTATAAACAAACTGCTCAGACTGGTGTTCTCTCCTGATTTAAAATAAGCAAATAAGCAAATTCAAGTGATTAGCAGCAACCTAAAAAAAATAAATTTTGGTGATTTCCTTTGTGGAAAATTTTTTTTAGTTTTTCATTTTTAGTCTCAAATGAACTTATTTATTGCAAATGAGTTCATTTGTATAAAAGCTCTTTGTATAGTAAATCATGCTTATTACTGATTATAATGAGCAAAACCGCCTAAATGAGTGTGAATGTGCTATAAGTTACTTAGAAACATTGAGCCTTTTATCGATCACTTTAGCACAAGTTATTTAAGACATGGAAAAGAGCTTTTATGTGCCAAAAATTTCTAATTGTAGAGCTTTTCTTCGTTTACATTTTAATTTTAAACAGCTGCCATTAAATGTTGTATCCTTGGAAGAAAATAATTTAGCATGGAAAATACAGAAAATTTAAATAATTTAGTATATATTATATGTACTATTCGGTGGCTCGCAAGTGTGCCAAAAAATGCTGGCTGGCCTATATTTTCTAAGCGAGACATTGGAATCACTGTTGCAATCTATCAAATGTTATGTTTTGGCTAATAGCAAATCTTGCATTTCAAAATAAGTCACTGAAATTTAAATTTTGTTCACAATATGAATGCATCAGTTGCATATACAAAAGAACATGCAATGGTTTATAAAAATTCACAAATTATGCTTTCCTCAACTATTACTATAAACTAAACGAAGTGCTGGACTTTAGTAAGTACGCGCAGTAAATATTATGAAATAAAGGGTAAAATTAAAATGAGCTGCGATTTTAGAAAAGAATGTTAATATTTTGGAAAGAGTATTGTCAAAAAAATGACCCATATGTCGGTTCTACGAAGACAACAGTGGGCTTCAAAACAAGTTTAAACACTAATCAACCACAACCCAAATAGAAAAGAAATAAGGCGATGTTTAGTTTAAATTTTCAGTAAGATTTATTTTAATTAATAACTAATAATAACACTAATAACTTATAAATTAAAAACAAAAACAACAAAAAATATATACTTATACATATATTTTTTATATAAACATATTTTATATAATTATAAAATTTATAAAACATTTTTTTTCTATGCGTGTCATTTTTAGGCGAGGAACACTATCAGAAATTAATACGAAGGTCAATACATAAGTTTCCCAAAAATTCTATTCACGTTATTGACAAACTTCCACGATGCTAAGGCCTCCCTTGGAAATGTCAATACTTTGTTGATCCTTTCTGTTTTAAAATAAAAGAGAAAAGTTGTTAACAGAATACTTAATAACATATATTATACAATATACTATATTAACTATTAAATAAAACATCTAACATTATTCGTAAAAGATTATGTGGCTTTAATTTAAATAAAGTAATGATATTGTTACCAATTTGCCTTTTGTAATTCCGTCTTCGATCCAGTTCATATCTCTCGATATGATATGAACGAGGCATATTGTCAACAAATGCCAAAAATAACCACGACAATTTAATTGTACTTAATAATTTTCATTTGCTGTTGTTCTTGTAGTCGTTACAAATCACAAACAACGTTTAAAAAAAATCGTTTATGAACGATATACTCGAAGAAGTAACTATGATAAAAGATTGAATCTAAACACAACGAACTCGTCTGCTGACGAAATACAACTGCTCGAAGAAGCACACAAAAGATATCTGTCAAAGTTTTTCTTATTCCTGTCAACTATCACTGTCGTCATGTTGCTATGATTTTATATTATACATACCAAGGGCCATGTTATGCAGAGTGTCTCGGGCTCGGCAAATTACGCTCTTTTGGGGTATGCCGAATATGCATGTTATGCAGAGTGTCACATCAGTATTGCCAATTTTGTATTTTTACTCGTTCTTGGTTGCGCCAAAATTTAAAAAGAAATTTAGATATGCTTACTTCCAATTTGCCACCAAAAATAACTAGCAAGAAAAAACTCATAGAGGCTGTAATAATGTTAATTTATTATTATATTATCTTATAATAATTGTTAACAGTTGTAAGGATGAAAATTTTAACTAATTTCCAACCTACATACAATCACTGTGGCGTTAATATCTACAATGAAAACTGGTTAATTTTTATTGTAAATTTAAAACGTAAACAACTTTCCATAAACCCACCCCCCCACCCCTATGCACGTAATTGCACCAAATGAACAAACCTAAGATTACATTGAAAATGCAAGTAATATAAAATATATTTAAACAAATAAATAATACACTCATCTTTAATATTTGTAATATTTATTTATTTAATAATAAATATTTATAAATAAATAAATTTATTAATAAATAATAAACCACACACACCGGCACTATATAAAAAAAAACAAACACGTTTGTAAACAAGACGAAGCATGAAAGCTTTGGTTGAACTAAAAACGAAGCTCGGCGAATTCAAGAACACACGAAAACACAAAGCACAGAAATTACACCCAGGCGAACAACAACAGTAAAAGACAACAAGTATCAAAAATACCAACGGCAAATGTACCGATGCGCTACAGGAAAAGCTTCGGTCGTTTGAGTATAAATAAGCGCACATTGTACAAGCAAGGGCACTTGTTGGGAAACTCTCAAAGGTAGTAATACGTCTTTGTGAAACAAGTCAGTAGAACTATAGCGTCAATGTAGTATATACGTCTTGACAAGTAGATTGTATATGTAGTCTTATATGTAAATCAAGCCAAGGTAGTCATGATACATCTTGACTAGTAGGATTTTCTGTAGGTTTGAGTTAGGGTAATAATACGTCCTAACATTAATGAATGCCAACCAAGGCTGTAACCCAGCATAACACTTTTAATCTCCAGTTAACGACGTCTTCTGACAAAACACCAAGATTAGCACAAGTAGTGTAGTCTGACAGCAACATTTCAGGCACGTGGAAACAACAATCGGAACAATCATCGAAGCACAATTATTCCAAATAATCGTAGTCATCAAATTAGCAAACCATATTATATTATAATTATATTAGATTGTAAAACCTTATTTTATTTTAAATTCTCCTAAATAAATAATTGAATTACTACATCACATTGTCTTTGACTTCCAAAATAAAAATTCTATTGCAACGACCTCTGGACGACGGCTGAGTATACCTCAGCATCATCAGCGACAGAAAGTGTGTCGTTACACAGTACTTACGCGTTTCGTTATAATCGGAAAAATAATGCTGTGTTGCTTACTGCCATTTTTTCTCCAAAACGTATTAGAATTGTAATTTGCTCCAAAAAGGCGCAAATTTTGAAATTTATTACTAAACAACACTGTTTTGCCTTAGTGCCGGGGCACAAATACGACGGCTCTCATGCCGGAGTTTAAACAACCATATTGTTTTTTCTCTCATAATAAAATTTAAAATTTGCATTGAAAACAACAACAATTGTACTCATGCCGTGCCCGAGACACTCTGCATAACATGGCCCCAAATACGCCACAATGTAATAGCAATTTCACTTATTGAAAACTTGCCTAAACCTTTGGGTGAAGTTGTGCACTTTCGACTGCACATCGGCACCTCTTTAATCTTTTTAATTAGAGAAGATTTTTCTCCCACATTTCTATGGTCCCATACACATTTCGGTTACTTTTTTCCGTTTTTACTTTAAACACAATTAATTTTGATCTATTAAATTACAAACCAATATTGAATTTATAACACAAATTTTTGAGATTTCATTTATTTACTTCCTAATAATAACCTAAAATAAATATTTTTTGTTATATAGGTTATGTTGTTTTATAATGATATCAAATATATACTTGATATAAAGTTATTTATATGTACTAATTATATATTAAATTTGATTTTAACGTCAAAAGTGACTATTTTTACTTTAACAGTAAAATTTATTTTTATTATTTTAATTAATTGAATGTTTAGCTGACCATACTGCTGTTTCGAGTATTGCCAAATACCCATCATAAGTTGTTTTTGAAGTAATTCTTGTATTTAATTATTCGTAAATAATTTTTTGAGACTGCAAGTACCAGGAATCGGAGCTCAGAGTAATATTTTGATTTTTAGTTGTTAAATTTCAATACTAATTTTTGTTTCGAAATTACTCTATTAATATATTTGATTTTTAAAAAACTAATGTTTAAAAAAATTTTTACCTCTTGTGTGTTTCGAATCTTTAATTGTTTGTATTTACATTTTGTTTCATTTGTCAACTGTGTTAAATTTGGATCATTTCAAATGTTAGATAGGACGGAAGCTCTTTTTATGGTTAATGAAATATACTTAGTATTGTTTAACTTACTTAATAAGTTTGACTTACTAAGTAAGCAATGGAAACGTACTTTTTTGTTAAAAAAATTGATGTCATTAAATTTTGCACAATTGCATGTGTCATAAAGCATGTCAGCAAGCAAGCGTGATATGTAACTCGTCTAATTTTTTTGTACTGCAAACTGCATTGTGTAAATGACGTAATAAAGTTGAAACTCTTTTATCTACTCCTTTAATTTAAATTATTTATTATAGATTTTGTATATACGATGCCATAATGTGTTTGTTAAATATTGTAACATGGAAATGCCAGGATATTGTATGCTTCATAGCTACGTTTTTTGAAATATATTTCCGATAGAAATTGTTATATATTTTGAAATTTAATAACGAATTCAAGCATTATAAATTTATTGTCGAGGCATTGGTTTATTCATGGCTGCTGGCAGTAGGGAACAGAGCACAGTGAACTCGCAACGGTTTCACCATCATTGTGGGCGCCGTATAACCTTATTAAATGACAATCTTACTGCAGTTCGTTCCGAAAGAGATTTTAATCATGCATTAGTATTTAGCGCTGCACCTGTTAAAGATGACTTCATGTTTGAAGTAGTTATTGACCAGAAAGTGAGTAAATTTAATAATGTAAATTCATATTAATTGATAAATTATCATTTTTTTAGAACCACTCTTGGGGTGGTAGTATTGAAATAGGTGTTACAGCGGAGTCTCCAGATAAATTAGACATTCCTGCAGTAGCTAATGCACTACGTAATGGTACCTGGGTGATGTCTGGAATTGATGTACGTAAGGATGGAAATTGCTTAGTAGAGTTTTATGGAACAGACTTAGAAACTCTTAATGTAGGCGATCGGGTTGGAGTAATGCGTACATCTGCAGCTGAATTGATATTTTTTGTTAATGGAAAATCTCAAGGCATAGCGGCCAAATGCATGCCTTCACCTCTCTGGGCACTTGTAGATCTCTATGGTAGATGTGTTCAAGTTACAATATGGTCCAGTTGTAATTTTGGCTTTGCTGTAAGTTAAAATTTAAATATTGATTGATACTGTAAAGATAACAGGTTAATATATTCTTGTTTCCAAAAATTATATCTTATATTTGTTAGTAATATGAAATGATTTCAGGATGTCAGTAACTCACGATCCCTGGGCCAAATTAACCATAACGTTGAAATTCCTATCAATTTTGAATTTAGCCTGGCTTCTAAAACAGGGTCTATTGTTTCGGCTGATAACTTAGAGTTTATGACGAATTCAGCACATAATAGTACCAGTAATATTACTACTGCCCAGTCTGTACAAAATGTTGAAGATTACTATAATATGAATGAGCGGATTCGATTTCACACGCGTTGTGGTTCACTTGTAAAGCTTTCTTCTAACTGTAGATCTGCCGAACGACGTCGACCCTTAGATGAATTTAATAATGCGGTGGTAATGACACAGAGACCACTCAAAGACGACGAGGTTTTTGAAATCCGGTTAGATAAATTAGTAGATAAATGGTCTGGTTCAATTGAAGTCGGAGTAACAACCCATAACCCTTCAATTTTACACTTTCCTGCTACAATGACAAATATGAGATCTGGAACAATAATGATGTCGGGATGTGGAATACTTACTAATGGTAAAGGTACTCGTCGTCAATACGGAGAATTTAATTTAGATGAATTACGAGAGGGTAAAATGCATATATATTTAGTTACTATTCTGGCCTATTTAAATATTTTTTAGGTGATCGTATTGGTATGATGCGTTCATCTATTGGGAACTTACATTATTATATTAATGGTCAGGATCAAGGAATAGCGGCTACACGTGTAGCAGCAACTCTCTGGGGAGTTATTGATCTGTACGGTATGACAATTAAAGTAACTATTGTAGATAGAGATGAACGTGAACAACAAAATCTTGTTACTCGTCGTAATAATACAGCATCCTCAGTAGTAGTTGGAGTGTTAAAAAACACTGTTAATGGAAACAGTAATTTGTTAACGGTACAACCAATTAATAACTTAAGTCCAGAAAACGAAGTTACAAGTGATAGAACGGGTTCTAGCGTGCTTGCTGATAGATTAACTTTTCATCCAACTTGCGGTTCCCATGCAACTGTTACTTATGGTGGACGAACAGCCTTACGCCCAAACGCTTCAGATGATTTCAATAATGGTGTTGTATTAACTCGCCGACCCTTGCGTTCAAATGAATTGTTTCAAATACGATTAGAGAGAGTCGTTACAAAATGGGCAGGGTCTGTTGAAATGGGTGTCACAACTCACAGTGCAGAAGATTTAGAGTTTCCATTTACAATGACGAATGTAAGATCTGGTACTTGGATGATGACTGGTAATGGAGTGATGCATAATGGAGTAACTGTTATTGAACAATATGGACTGAATTTAGACCGGTTACAAGTCGGAGATCGTGTAGGTGTAGTACGAAAATATGATGGCACGTTGCACTTTTGGGTAAATGGTATTGATCAGGGTCCTGCGGCTCATGATGTACCTGAAAATGTTTATGGTGTTATTGACTTATATGGGCAAGCAGCACAAGCAAGTATTGTGGAAACTTCAGAGTGTGGGAGCCCCGATACTGGAAATTCTACTATATCTAATACAACACTTTGTAGTGAGCCACCTTTGCGATTTCATGCTATACATGGTAAAAATGCAAATATATCTAACGGGGGTTTGACTGCTTCTCGACCAAATTCATTGGCTGAATTTAATGATGCAATCGTGTTTAGTAATCGTCCATTGCAGCAGAGAGAAATATTTGAAGTTGTTATTGAGAGTGTTGTTCGGCATTGGTCAGGAAATATAGAAATTGGTGTAATCGGAACAAGACCGGAGGATATACGTTTAACTTCAAATGCAACTGATTTAAATTCTGGAGATTCAATAATACTTTGTGGTTCAATGATTTTTTATAATTCAAACACAATACGTACATATACACTTATTGATTTAGACACATTAACAGTGGGGACACGAGTAGGTGTAATGAGAAATGGTGATTTTGTACATTTTTTTATTGATGGCGTTGATCAAGGACCAGCTTGCGAATGTTTCATGCAAAATGCTTGGGCAGTAATTGATTTATATGGACAATGTGCTGTGGTTACTCTAACACAAATTCAAAATTTCAAAGCCCCATATGCTATCAGTGAAAATTCACAGAGCTGTTTAGCACCTTCTGTTCTACAAACTGTGATTCCCGAATCAAAACATAGATGGAACAGTATTTGTGGTAACATTACTTTATCTCAAAATTGGACAGTGGCTTCACGTTTAAACGGTCCAGCAACTGCATTATCACCATGCATTGTTTTTTCTGAACATCCTATGTGTATCGGAACTCCTTTTGAAATTAAAATAGCATCGCATAATCCACTTATTGCTGGTTGTTTTAATATTGGCATTACAGATCTTAATCTTGCAGAGGAAAGTATACGTAAAAATATACCACCTTGTATAAAAAAAATTCCAGCAAATGTATGGTATATGTCGGCAAACGAAATGCGATATAATTCAGTTTTATTACGTCATTCTTTAGCATCATTAGAATGGTTAAGAGTTGGCGATCGTATTACTCTGGAACTAACAACAGCCCGCACTTTGCGCATACTATTTAACTCGGAGGATATAAATATACATTTTCAAAATATATCAAATGTACGTTGAACTGCATTGTATTAAATTTAGATTTTTATGTAAGAAAACATATCATTTTAGGATGTTTATGTAGTTGTTGAACTTCAAGGTTCTACAACGGCCGTACAAGTTATATCATCCCAAGGACCGACTTCCCCTCTACAGCCTTATAGTTTACGTTTACAAGATTCATTAGATTTTGGGGCGGATGTTTTGAATAAACAAGATTCCATGTTGGAATCAATAGAGTCTGAATCTCAATCTTTTGAATTTCTAGATTACCATGGAAAAAATGTTCGACTGACTGACGAACACCTCAGTGCAGCTCGCTTAAAGTCATATAATCAGGGAATTGTTTCTGTTACAAAACCATTGCGTAGGGGAGAAAGTATTAGTGTAAGTTTGTTTACAATGTTTTAGCAAAAATAATTATGTATTAATATTTAAGCTTATTTTATTAGATAAGAATAGATAATATTAACACAGGCTGGAAGGGAACAATTGGATTAGGTGTGATCGGAATACCACTAAAACATTATAATCTCATACCTACATCAATACTTCAATTTAAACGACCTTGTTGGCTAGTTACACATGATGTTATTAATATTAATGGGCAAAAGTTGACATCCAAATATGGTGAGGTATTGGAATTATTAAAACCAGGTATTATCATTACAATGACGTTAACACACGCTGGAGTTTTAGGTAATTAATTTACAATTATATCATGTTGAAAATACACTTTAATAATTTTTTTAGTTTTAATGATAGGAAACACTAACTTGGAGGATTTAGCTATATGTCTTCCAAATAATGTATATCCCATTTTTGACTTATATGGTCTTTGTGAAAAAATATCTTTAATTAATGAAAATGAAATGGTTCGTAACAGTACACCAATAATTGAAGAACTACCAGTTTTAGAACATGATGGTATACATAATAGACATACAGGAGCGTGTGTTCAATGTGAAAAAGCAAATTTAGAAGTACATGAAAAAGAACATCAAGAACTAAAAGTAACCGCTGAACATGCAGGTTTTACTACTACAGCAGTCCAATTAAAAACGGATTAAATTTACTTTTACATGCAAATTGGATAGTCGAATTTGATTGAATCTTAAAAAAAAATATTCTATTATATGCCTAATGTAACTGTATTTACATTTGGATTTGGTTTTGACACGAAAAGGCTGACTAATTTGTTTTGATTTAGAAGCTGCATGTGCAAAATTTTTTTGTTGATGGAATAGTGGTAATTATTGTACTAAATGTACCTTAAGAGGATATGTCTACGAAGTTTTCTGAAATAATATGTTTTTACTACAAAAATGTTCTACATTATTTTGTACAATAGCTTATATTAGCAAAATGCGTTGATTAAAAACTGCACGTATATTCAACTTCACATATTTCAGATTTCCTGGGACACCGATTTGAAAACGGATCTTGTTAGAGTTAACTATTTTGAGCATATTTTCAGGACACCGTATGACTATGTAACTTACATCGAGATTTAAAAAAATTTATAATTTTAAAATGTGTTATCTCGAAAACGGAGTTATGTTGGCGCTATGCAATTTGCACGCACATTATTCCACTTAAGCAACTTAAATTGTTTTATTTTTTTTTAGAAAAAGAGAAATCCATAAGTATAATTTTTATACAAATATAAAACTAAGTACTCTTACATGTACATTATGTCTATTAAACCTTCAAAAATGTATTGCTTGCAAAAGAACGGAAAAATATAACCCCCAACAATTGTTATCCAATGGTGTGCTATCAAATTACAGAGATCAGTAATAATAGCACAAAGTTATTATAATCTATTTTTTTTTTTTGTAATAAAGTGAAATTTATTTTAAAATATGAAATGTGTATAATAAAATAGACAAATATTAATTTATCACTATTAGTTACTTAAAGGTAAAAACACAATAGCACGGCGTCAAAGTGGTTTCATGACTCGTGTCAATTTCGAGACTGTTATGGATTTTTTACAGGGTTCAGAAAAACACTGTGCTGTGCACAAAAATGCAAAACACCACTCACAATTGTTGTGCGATTCTAAATAACATTTCACACCACAAATGTGGTGTACGAAAATTTTGTGCACATCTTGTGTGTACAAACAAAACGCACATTTCACACGAATGTAGTGGAGAGAAATAAAACTCGCACACCAATTCGGTGTTTGTGCCGAATTATTTCGCACAGCACATTGTGTGTGAGGCAGCCAGCTTGCCCTCGCACACAACGTGTGCAGAAAAGAATACAAGGAGCAGGGCTTGAATTGCTTGTAGAAAATTAGCAAAAGCAACCATATTTTGACTAATGCATAAATATTGACCAGTCAATTTTTGTCAGACTAATTGCTAATGCGTTGCATATGAAAATGAAATAGGAATATGCATTAGCAACAGCAAAAAACGCTAACATGTTTCATTTTGATTGCTTGCTAATAGTCAATTTTACATATTTGACTATTATGCGTTTGGAATATATGCAACGTGCTTGCTTATGCGTTAGCTGCTTGTGTTTTGCTATTAGCAAATGTGTATGGATTTCTTCTTTTTGTTTTTGTTTTAAGGAAATGTGTACGCATTATTTCTTTGTTGGTGCATTGAATATAGTTGTGTAAAATTGTAAGTAATGTGTGTGCGTACAATTTGTATGCAATTAATATAATTTTATCTGTAATTAGATTATGACTAAATTCGTTTTTTTTAATTATTAAATTTATGATATATATATACACTTAGCAGAAAAACTCTGCATACAGAAAGTAAATTTTATTTCAACATATAAAAAGTAACTAAATAAATAAATTTTGTAAATCAATTTCATTTTTTATTAGTACTTTTATTTCTAACAGATAAGTAGAAAAATTATATTAATTAAAAATGTAAAAAATCAACGCTATCGATGGCAGAAAAAGTCTGCGTACAAGAGTTTAAAAAGCGTCTAAATAATAATGCTGCGGATTTCTCTTGTTGACAGCTTGGATGGACGCCTAGATCCCAACTTCGAGGTCAATAATCCTGTTTAGTTGTAGTTGTTCACTACTCTTTAGGTAAAAAGATGTGACCACTTAACGATTTGACTAATTTCGCGATACATTTTCCTTTTTTTCCATAGATCAATAATAATACTGCTTCCACTGCTAATAATTTCTTTTCCTTCATTTGCCACTGTAGTATATTCGATCATGGCAACCCTGTATAAAGAAATAGATAAAAAAGGAAAAATACGAAGTGAGTAGTTGTTCGTCGTTGTGATCAAAGGAATAAGCGTGCCATGCCGTATAAACTATTATTATTATTAATTAATTGTAAATCTATATAACTTAAATCAATAAAGTATATAACAAAATTGGCGACGAGGATAAAACTTTTCTTGTGAGCAGACTGTTTTTAAAAAATGTTAAATGATGGCAAAGAATTTCGGAGATTTAAGCCAATTTAACGTGGCGTCAGGAAAATGGTAGACGTACATGGAACAAATAGAATTTTTCTTTTTGGCTAATGATATTACAGACGCAATAAAGAAAAAAGCTATCTTTTTAGCTTCATGTGGGATGGAAACTTATACAATATTAAAATCGGTTGCCACACCGGTTAACATATTAGATGAGAAATTTACATTTGTTGCGGCAACTAAACTATTGACGAGTCATTTTTGTCCAGCAGCTAATATAATAATTCAACGTTTTATATTTTATCGGAGGGATCAAAAAGAAGACGAATCAATTACCGAATTTTTGGCAGCGCTAAGGAAATTGAGCCAAGACTGCAATTTCAATGATTTAGATGAAATGTTACGAGACAGGTTAGTCTGTGGCATACGCGACGGGAATTTACAAAAG